GCGCTATTCGCATGTCTGGCATTGCGTGCTGGGCACTCTGTGTGGTATCTCGAGAGGCTACAAGCTGTCATGCAGGGGAACAATATGGAGGATGGCGAGGAGGACGGTGAGAGTGATGACAAAGTGGTGGGGGATCTCACGCGGCCCGAACACTTCCTTCAGGTGAGAGACATAGCTGCGATGGGCTGGGTGAGGATGAGAATACTGAATGGGTGTTGGGTCAGTCCAGGAGAAGATTACTACGAGGTGCAGTGCACCGTTGGACACGAAGAGCTCCCTGTACAGAAGAGTACGTCTATACGACGCATGCCAACATACCACCCCGCTCAACAGCTCTACTTGAGTTTTACCTCGCAGATGTCTGCCATCATCGGACCCGCGCTACACAACGTTGCAAAATCACTACTATTCACTGCAATTGGGAGCGATGGCAGCGAGGATGAGCGCGCACGATGCGGTGCACTGCGGGTGCAGATCACCTGACCGCTTTTGGTCTTTTGAGTCGCGATGCGCGACTCAAAAGACGCGCGCGGGCAAAGCCCGCGGCTTCGCCAGGCTGGTAGTCCCGACTGAATAGATATATTTGAGTATCTTTCTTGCGCACCTATATTTTCCAGTAGTTTACTGCAGCACATGTACTATGAGTAGTTATTTCAACCCCTGTTTACCCAGAACCGGCATTTACGAGCGTCCTCACCGCGGGGTGGGAACACGTGGAGTGTCGGACAACGCGGCCGCGTCTCATTGCTGTTCGGTCTCTCGACTGAACCGCGTATTCGACGCTCGACACTGACACTGACAAGATTTATCCCACAACAGAACTTACTACGCTCAGGTACGTGCTCATCTTCTGGGTGTGGCCCATCATTTCCCATGCATGAGGCTGATCAGCGCCTTCTAGACTTGCAGGGAGGCTTCCATATGGACGGTTTGACGCCACTCGCAGGTGCGGGTTCCATTAGAGGTACGCAGTGGGACTTTTCTTTTGGGCGAGGGCATGAACTGATGCATTGTACCTAGGAGAACGTGTTTGGAAGGGTGCTCCGGAGTCCAACACGAGTGCGGCTTGGAATGAGAGCGTTCAAGGTGCGTACGCGCACTCATTCGTGAGAGCATTGTTGTAACTGCTGCCCGTAGACAATTTGGCCACAGACCCTCTCGCCTTCTTTCGGCCCTCAAATGTCAATTTGCGCGGTGGTCGCGCAGAGGGCCTTACTGCCGCGGATGGCTTTGGCTATCCACCTCCCTACAGCGTTGACACCTCCGCTTTCATGGGCCTCCCCGAAGAACTTCCCGA